ATTAATCATCAAATTGGTGGTCTTAAATGTCAATCTTGTTAAAAAGAGTGACTATGACCTTTTTTAAGTCATTGGTGCTCGGACTAGCAAAGGAATTTGCCACGCACAGAAGCACTTCAACCAACAAGAGCAACTAATCACCCCTGTTTACGGTGAATTGCAATTGTCAAGCGCGCAAACAAAGCCTACTCACTCTGTACCGCGGTTATAGTTCTAAGTCCTTGTCTACTCACATGTTCCGGCTTGTTAGAGGCACTTTGCCGACGTCGTGCACAGTAGCACTTAGAAAGCCGCATCTAAGAAGCGACACTTAGCTTGGGAATTTGAACCCACATATTTGAAGCGGCGCTGATGATGAACTGAACGACTGCTGCAACGGTGAACCTCAGTTGCTGCTACCCATTTACTATTTTTTTGATGGTTTTTGTAGACATGGGATGAAGTGCTCGAAGCAGTGATTGGAAGTGGTTTTTGTGATGTTTGGTAGCGATTTTGTGGTGGTTTTTGGGAATGTTTTGGTGATGGTTATTTTCTTGGTTGTTAGGTTGTTAGTAGTGGTAGTGGTGGTTGTGGTGAAGTGTTATAGTGGTGGATATGGTGGAATGTTGGTGGTGGAGGACGTGGTTGGTGGTTTGCACATTGTAGTGCCAGTGTCAGTGATGTCGTAGTAAGTCACAATTTGTTCACAAGTCGTATGTTACCTTAAATCAATGTCCATAAGTCACAAGTCACTACGAGTAGGTCATAGATCAATGTCGATATGTCACAGATCAATTAAAATTGACTACAAATCAAATTCCATTGGTCACAAGTCAATGTCCACGAATCAAAAATCAATTAAAGTTGGTGATACATCAATGTCCACGGAGTCACATGTCATATGTCAAAGTGTCACATGTCATATGTCAAAGTGCATAAGTCGCATACTCAAATTCAAGAGATCTGCTCACATGTCACCGATATCTCCAATCTCATTTCTTCGAACTGGTCACAAATTCAACTAACCAAATTTTGACCGTGAGAATTGAAGTTATTTTCTCCGGTGATTACTCTGTAAATTACACCAAAGACTAATTACACTAGAGACTGTTTTTGAATTTTCAATTTAAAAAATAAATTTAAATTACACCAACATTACACACTTGCCTTTGAAGAAGATGATAAGTCATCGATGATAGTGAGTTGATTTCTTTCTCCATCTATCTTTACTATAAGAGCCAACAATGCTCAATCGCCGTTGAAGAAGTCGCCGATGATCCTGCAGATTCTATCTTTCCTCGCATAAATTTATTTGGATACCAGTAACTGAGAGAGTGAATGTTGGGGGTGAACGTCGACAACTGTACGAGTGGATGGTGGCACGTAGGTGCGTGGAAATGGGGGA